AGAGAGAGAGAGAGAGAGAGAGAGAGAGAGAGAGAGAGGAATTGATCAGAGCATCGAGATTATCGTGTGTGGGATTAAATGCATGATTTCCACCATTGCAAAGACATTTTCTCCATCCTTTTGCGAATCGGTGAATATCCGCGGTGTTTTATGGAGGTTGTGCGCGCTGGCGTCAGTGTCCGCATCTTTCACTCGTTCGGACGGTTCTCTCGGATTTAAGGGTTTTTTCTCCTTTGCTTTTGCTGATCTAAAGGTAAGCAGCTGTGGCTAATAATGCGTTTTCTTATCTCCCCGCAGGTTGCGTGTGTCTGGATGAAGATGGGTTTTTTTCCTCTCTGATTTGTCTCGACTTTCTATTCATCATCTAGACGCGTAACCATCCTTTGAGTCAGGAACACGGCACAATCTAGCGATGCAGTCGGACATATGCCCATGTTTGTGTCCTCTCTTCGTGTTTTAGCTCGTGAGCAAGTGTCAGGGCAGTGAAGGGGTTTATTAGCGCAGGTACGATCTGTGAGGGATTCAATAACCTACTTTACGCATTCACATCGACTGCACAGCTTTACACTTTCATCCTTTCTAAAAAAATTTGAAAAACCTTAAATGTTAGGCTTTTCGACTCGTTTCATTAATTCATATTTAGATAATACCCCAATAATAGCTGGTGTCATTGGTGACTTATTAGGAAGGGCCTGTGCTTTAATGCAAAGACCCACTTCTATCAGCCCTCTGATGCATGAATGATCAAATCATATCTTTATGATGCATTAACATTCAAAACAAGTACAGAACGATTCCCATTTTCGCTTCAAAATGATGTTTTTGAGCGAGTTGCACATCTATCTTGCAATAGAAAATTATAACTCGATGGTTCTCGATGCATCTCCACTTTTTTTCCATCCATGTTTTGGCCATATAGTTATGGGAAGGAGTGGTTTAGATGATTATAGTGGCTTTTGAAGATCTGACCATTGTAATAGACATCTGCATCAAAGGGTTCAAATATAAAGTTGATCATACAGTGCATTGGGTTGCTTGCATTGCCCTTAATGCTAGTGTCTCAATGTTCTGTTTTACCAAGATAAGAATATAATAATTCCCATTTTTCCCTTTCAAAAGGATGTTTTTTGAGAGAGCTGCACATCTATTGCAACCTGCAGTTGAAAATAATGTTAAATATTCCAGAGGTTCTTGGTGCATCACCACTTTTCGGTCATGTTTTTTTTAATAAATAAATACACACTATAAAGAGTATAGCCATATGCAATTATGGGTTTAGATGATTAAAATGGCTTTTGAAGATCTGACCATTGTAGCGGCAATTGCATCAAAGCGTTCAAATGTACAGTTGATCATATAAACATGTTTTGGTTTGTTTGCATTGCCATTGATGTTAGTATCCTAATGTTACGTTTCATCAAAATAAGAATACAATAATTTCCACTTTCCCTTTCAAAATGATGTTTTTGAGAGGATTGCATCCTGCAATTGAAACTAATGTTAAATATTCCTTAAATTCTTGGTGCATCACCATGTTTTTGTAAATAAAATCACAAGATAAAGAGGACAGCCGTATGTAATTATGGGAAAGAGTGGTTTAGATGATTATAATGGCTTTTGAAGATCTGACCATTGTAATGGACATTAGCATCAAAGGGTTAAAATGCACACTTGATCATATACCGATTTTGGTTTGCTTGCATTGACATTAATGTTATGCATTGTATTACTGGAGGTCATCAGTGATCAGATAAAGCATCTTTTTATATTCTCAACATTAAATCTCTAAACCACCTACAGTATGTAGACCTACATGGTGCACGGATGGAAATGCAATGTGAAAGAGGACGAAATCAGCTTTAAAATAGGTGAGACGCTTTAGTTTGATTGCAACAGCGTTTGTCAGCAGTATATGAGGTCTGATGATTTGCATTG